GACTGCGTGACATCAGGCAAGAGGCAAAGTTATCCCACAAAACTCACAAACCTCACACACTCTGTGCTAAGTGGAGACATTTTCAGTGACTTCAGTCAGAAGGAGCCAAGTACCTGAGGCAGCAAGTTAAAGAAACAAAACCAACCAATGCTGCAGAGGACAGCTCACAGTTCTTCTCTCTGACTTAAACCCTCTCCTTGGAAAACGGACATTATTTCTTCTTTTCATGGGAGTTGACTGATTTCCACTGAGTTTAGTAGGCAGCACTTTACATTTATTTATAGGGCACTCTGGCATCTTTAAAACCAAGAGGGGTGGTCAAAAGTTTTAAAAAGTACTATGGCTATGCTTCATGAAGCCTTAGTGGAACTGTGTAGAGCACTAATACTGATAAAAGTACAAATTCTATTTTCTCTATTAAGTGATCCAAAACAGTAACAAACCTGAAACACCACTGCTATTTGGTATTGCGGCACATGCTATGTGCAGGCAGGCAACGGAGCCTGGTTTGAACCTGGCTTGCTTAACACGCTTGGCGAACTTACTGAGGATCTTACACTCAGCCACAGGGGTTATGCTTCCTCACTTGTAAAATGGGGAGAACAACAATACCTACCTCAGAAGGTTGTTGTGAGGATAAATTAAAAAATGATGCACTATAAACTGCAGAAATGCTGTTAGCAAGTAGCCTTTTGCATGTGCTGCTCAGGCAAATGACTATAATTTGTTTGCATTTCTTGAGTCAGGTAAGCAGAGTTTAGGAAGGGATGCCCTTCTCAGACATGGCCCTGGGATTACCTGCTAAGAAAAATGCACGTTATCATAGTGATCATTCTAGTAATTATTCTTGGACATCCTGACTCAGAGAAGGGCTTGCTGTGCTATTAGAATCTCTCATTTTTCAGAATCCTAATATCTGGATCTCAGCTTCCATATTTCTATTCCTTAATCCTTACAAACGAGGTCAGAAATCAAGACAATTTGACATAAGAGAGGCAAGCAAGGTTAGCTAAACACGTTCAAGTTTCACATGGGGCAAGATACTTTTTATGTGATCAGAGGAAGAAATAGTAATACAGGTTTTCTATTGGGAGGTGATTGTTAGGAGGGCTTAAAGAAAATCAGAATGTAGATTTGATTACATGTCCTAATGAAATCAGTTCAGAAAACAAGAGTCAGAGAGAACAAATGACTTGCATCTAGTCATGATATGTGGTGTGAAGTGGCAATCCAGGTCTTGTCACCCAGAGTTCAATGACACTGGCATCATTCCATAATTTGATGGATTGCCAAGAGTGTATCTAACAGTTGAAAATGGGGAAGCTTTCCTCAGGAGTGCTACTTCCCTCAGGACTGTAACAGTATCCCATGCATTTGCTCATCCAGATATCCATTCACTTAACAATATTCACTGAGCATCTATGATGTGCCAGCCACTGTGGTGCATGCTAAGATATATTAGAGCTCTGTAAATATCAAGGATATATTATCAATACATAATTCACAATGCAATGACAAGATAAACTGAAGACGAGAGTTAAAATCCAGAGTGTTTTATTATCTGTGGGTAAGGCATATATGTGAGGGTGGGTATGTGCTTAATGCTTAATTTAATAAGCAATCCAGAGGCACAGAGCATGGAGTTGAAGCTCTGCAAAGCACACCTCCACCACTGCTATTTATTTAATGAATACTCCTGGGCACTCTTTAAATTGAAAGATGGTTCATTAGATTTGTGCATCTGCCCTTCTCAGCAATCTGTCGTGTTTCTGATGAAGGCAGGAAAAAACATGAACAGATCATTTTCGAGTATGAATAACTCAGCTTTCAATGATTACAGACTCATAAAGAGCTCAGGATGCCTAATTTCTGGAAAACAATTTGTCTGAATCATTCTCTTTCCATTTTTATCAAGTTCTCTTTTTCCTCATTTTGGAAATTTCAAGTACTAGCCCTTAAAAAATAAACACCTAGTATATTACCTGCAAGTAAAAAAATAAACATATTTTTAAGATTGAAAAAAGACGGCCCTTCAAAACTGGGTAAAAAAAATCACCTCCTTTTTAGAATTTTTCTCTTTTGTCTCAATTCAAGCTCTCTCCTCTGAGCTCCCATCCTACATGATGCAGCTACCTACTGCAATCAGCCTTGCAGGCTGGTTAGTTGTAGAGAGTGTGTGTGTTTGTGTCTGTATGTGTGTGTGTGTGTGTGTGTGTGTGTGCACATGAGCACACTCTTGGAAAGCAAACATTTTTTTTTTTTTAAATCACTGTCTCTGTCTCAGTACCTGCCAAATAGTAGATTCTAATAAAAGTGGTAGACTGAAACAGATGAAAGGTAGGGTTCCTTGGACAGGGCCTTAAACTATGAAAGCAGACTCATTCACTTGTCACCCCTCAGCCAACATTTATTTAAGGCTTCCTAGGTTTTGGCAATGTGGTGGACAGGAGTAGAACCTAGGACACAAACACAAAGACGAAAATGTCAGTGCCCTCAGAGAACTTGCTCTCAGGAGGGCACCCCCAACGCATGCTCATTAAAGCCAAGTGTGACAATCCCATAGAGATACTCTCTGAAGGGAGCATGTGTTTTCACTCAGTGCCTTGGAGAGAAACACCCATATTCTTGAGTTTCTGAAAGGCCTTTTCACTTATTAAGAAAGCTGATAAACAAAAAGAATGATTGACACCATATTTAGTGGAGTCTTCTCTGAAATCACAGTTTTAAGCCTAGAAGGGCCAAAGAAAGCTGGATTCATCATTCACTGCCTCCAAGGGCTGCCTGTCACCTGGTAGAACACCGAACGGAGAGAGGTAACTGACATCTCTGAGGCTGGGTAGTCTCTGTCCCTGTCCTCTTACCCCTATGTAAACTGGCATATATGTTATAAAATGAAGAACTGAATTTAGCATTTAGTGTTTAGTCTGGAATTTATTTCAAGTGGTTGGAAATTCAAGTGATTAAGATGGTGGGGAAGATGTATAAGACCACAGCTCAGTTTTGTTCTGTCAACCTAGGAGAAACACAGTGTAAGAGGCTCCAGGTTAAAAGGTGTCCTGTGTGAGATGCTGACTGATTCACACAAAGACTGGGCACTAAGCACAGGTGATGTGCTAATCTGTGTTCAATAACAGAGAGCAAGAGGATGAAACAGTCCTTTCCTCAAGGTGCTGAACAAAATACACTAATAAGTAATTAAAATACATTTATATGATCATCACAGGGGTGTGAATAAGCTACAATGGCAGCTCACAGAAGGCGGTACAGAAAAATAACTGATCATGCCTAAGCATTATCGATAGTGAAAGAGGAGCTCTGATGTGACACTCTCTAGATACTTTTCAAATTAGCTGATTTACAGAAGATAAAGAGAGAATCATTCAGTCAGCATTCAGTGGCCTACTGTGTACCAGAAATGGCTGGGTTGCTGTGTATATTGAACTGCATACATACATGTCTAAGTATGTATACTCTGACATCTCAATATAGTTATTATTGGTACATTAAAATGCAAAAAATCCAGAGTTCCCATGGAGTCTGCTGCGCCAAAAGATGAGTGTGGCACATACCTAGTCCCTGAAGGAGGAGGCAGCAAAACTCTCTGCTTCCCCCTCCCAGCCAGGTGGGAGACAAGCTGACAAAATCCTCCACTCACCGATTCAGTACCACTTCAGTGCTGCCACAACGAAGAAAACTGCAAAGTCCCAAGCAGCTCTGAGAGGGACGGACAATCCCCGAGCAGGCCTCAGTGGTGCCAGACTCTCCGAGAGTCCAAGGGACGGGTACTTTCAGTCAGAGTTTTCATGGTGGAATAAATGTTTTCTTCTACAATCGGTAAAATAACTGGCCGGCTTTTGAGAACCTACCTGCCTGCCAGCCCCTGTCACGGTTCAATACTGCTAGGCATCTAGAAAACCCTATACATTGATTTCCTTTTGTCCTGCAGACACATGGGAAAACACACATCCATAACGTGTGGACTGTTTTCAAGAAGCCTCCACGGCTGCTGTGAGCAGCTGTTCCTTTCTACACAGAAGGAATGGCTGACAGGAGATTGTGCTTCCTTTTCTGGGTTCTGAGGAACATCTACCATAAGAGGCAGTAAGCCAAAGTTATCTTGCCTTGTTCTGCTCAGAAGTGTCTGTTGTCCTACTGAAGCAATCTGTCCACTCCATCGGCCCCCCACAGGGCATCCCCCAAGCGGCCGAGCTGGGGTCCTTTCAGCCTCTGATCAGTACTTACCAGTAAGGTGAAGCTGTGTTCTGGCAGCATCCCATACTGCTGGCTGAGCTTCTCCCTTGTCACCCTGGGGAGCTCAGGCAGCTGCTCCCGAATCCAGTCAATATTGATCACTTGCTGCGGGTCCATGCCGGCAGGCAGAGACGCCGTGTCGTAGAGGATCAGCGGAGGCAGGTTGGGTTCAGGCATAAACCTGGGCAGAGAGTGGAGACAGGGCCTGACTCAGAAGGTTTGGATTTAATAAGGAAAAAAAAAGAGAACCTAACACCAGCACAAAGTTTTGTGTTCTGATGCCATGTTACTTATAAATATTTTCTAATATCCCATAGCATCAATTCTCCCTGATTTCCAGGAACTAGTCTTTGTTTGGACAAGTGTAAACTGCAGGTCAAAACCACCAAAACTGTTACTCTTAGTGCTTATCAACTAGTAACGACTGAAAAGGGCACAACACAGGGCTGACACCACCCTGTGATTTATAATTGTGCATAAAGTATATATTCATAAAGACACAGGCTGGAAAAAAGGACCAAATGAGAACAATTCCTAGGAAGAAAGAAGAGTTTTCCTCATTTAAAAATTTTCACTATTTTTAGCAGTATTCATATAAAAAATGGAAAGTCAAAGAAAAAGAAACCTTTCTTGAGAAGTAGAAATGAATAGATTTTGCCTAAATAAAGTGGAGAAGCTGGAGGGGAGTGAGGAAGGGAGGGATGAATAAGTGGAGCATGGGGGATCTTAGGGCAGTGAAATATTCTATATGCCACTGTAGTAGTAGATCTATATATTATACCAATTTGTCAAAATCCATAGAATATACAAGCATAGAGATAGAACTTTGGTGTAAACTATGGACTTTAGTTAATAAGGTATCAATTTTGGTTCATCAGTTGTACCAAATATACCACAACAAACACCAATGAAAGATATTACTAGGGGAAACTGTGGGGCTGGGGGCAGTATATGGTATACACCAAGGAGTATATGGGAACTCCATAATTCCACTCAATTCTGCTGTGAACCCAAACTACTCTAAAAACTAATTTTTTTAAAATGTGGAGGCTGCACCACTGCATATAAGCTTACTAAACAAAGTTGTCCTACCCTCTGTTGTATTCCAGCATTTCATGTTTTCTATCTGCTTATGTTTGTCAAAGGACTTATGCAGAAGCAGGATAATGGACAACAAATGGTGGTTCCAGATGATATATCAGAAGTGCAAGTAGCCATCACCTTGATGCTGAATCAGTCTGATTTCTGAAGGCAAGAGGGAACCAAAGGGAGGTTTCCTGAATCCCAACTATTAACCTGAAGGATTGAGCTGAAGCCACTGGCTGAGCTAAAAGCCAAATTCCATGCTCAGTAAGAAAGCAGCATGAACAGAGTAGGGGCAACCGTGGAGAACAGACTGTTCTTGGGCAGGACAGACTGGATCTAGAAGATCACAGTAATGAGAACAATCTTGGCTTGGACAGACACACGAGAGGAGTCCCTGAGATGACGTTCACTCTAAGGGTCAGTGGGCTGCTTCTTTCCCAGATGAAAATGCTACATTCGTTCCTCACTGACAGCAATAGCTTCACTTACATCTTCCTGTGCTTCATAAAGGAAAGGGGGGCTAATCTCAACAACTTTGTTGCTTAAAACTTCATTCCTTGCCATCTGCTAAACTCAATGGTGGAAAAAAAATGAAATATTCAATTTGTCTTAAGCTTATCATTATTGTTTTACTTCTGGATCTCATACTGAGTCCAACTTGTTTACCAATTAAATAGTTATCACCTAAGGTTTGAAGGGAAATGCCATTAATGTATACATCTCTATTTTTTCATTTCTTATCAAAGAGCTTCAGTATACTACTGAATTTGTAACTGAATATAAGAATAAGACCAGTCTAGGTCCCATTCTGCATAATCGTAACAACTCTTACACAGAAGTGAGTAAACAGGTGTTTTCTAATAGTTGAATCCTTTCAGATAAGGCCCTCCAAGGCTACCAAATCAAAAAAATATTTTGTCTTTCCATATACACATAAAATAGGAAGACAAGATTTTCCATCACAGAATAACAAGTGGGTCCCCAAAACTATCCAGGATCACTATGTTGATCTGTAAGTAGGTTTGAAATGTGCCCTTAACCCCAATGGTATTTTGACAAGAGGAGTAACCACCTGTAGTCTTGTTTTCCTTCTTTGTCTCTCATCGGGACAGTGCACCTATGATAATGAAATAAGAAAACATTAAGCAAACGTTGCTTGCACTATTGGCAGAAAGGGCTTTCCCCTATGGACAAGGGACACAGGCACATTCAAGCTCTTGAGCCTCCCAATGGGAGATACTCACACAACTACATTAAAAAATAACAATAAAGAAAGGGAAATGTTTAGAACAATAATTTTTTTAAAAATGAAAAGAAGTTGCTTCAACGTTTCCAGGTTTTAATCAGCTCAAACTCTATAGCCTTTTGAGCTTTTTGCAGTCTTCAGCTAAAAGTAATAAAATCATCAAAATTCAGAGTCAGAAAATTAGTCAAACTTATCCCAACAAAAAAAAACATACCTTTACAACTAGCTCTAAGCTTTCTTCTATCTCCAGCTTAAATTTGTAGAATTTAAGTATGGCAGAATTAAAGAAAATAAAACTTCTTGCCACAAAGCAGGTAAGCTAGAGGCAAGGGAAGGGCCAGGACTTACGACTAAGCACTTATATATAAGTCTGGCTCAGTTCCAACCTCTAACCAGCCATACAGGGCATATTATATCCCTGGAGGGCACAGTATTTCCCTAATTTTACGAGACAGGACACCAAAGTCACAGAAGTGAAGCCCCGCCCTGCCAGAAGCCCCACCCCACTGGAAGCCCCACCCCACCGGAAGCCCCGCCCTGCCATATTCCAGATGCTCGGCGTGGTACACTCACCCCAGCTTGTCATCAAATGAGCGGGTTTCATTCAGAATTTCACCTCCATTCTCAAGTTCCTTGATTTGCCTCTGAATTTCATAGTCTAAGAAAAACACAGTAATTAATTTAGTATCATATTTAGATTCCTTTCATTCAGTTAAGCAATAATCAGAAATCTTTTATCAAGAAATAATCAAGAGAATTGTTTATAATGATTCTTCCTTTATATGCTCTACTTTCTTTTTGCTGCCATCATAGACTAGCTGTGCTAGAAAGGGCCTTTAGGAAGCTCCACTCCCTCACTTTTTGAGAAAACTCAGGCTCAGAGAGATTAAGCAATCCTGGAACAGATTATACAATTTGGCAGAAGAAAACTGGGACCAATATCCAGGCCGAGTGACTCCAGCTCTAGGATTGAAGCCTTGTAAGAGTTTTTATCTTGGGATCCATGGATGGGCTTTCAGGGGGTCTGGTACTTCCTCAAAGTACACACAAAATGTGGGTGTGTACATATGTACACTTTTTGGAGGGGGTTCAGAATTTTCATTATATTTTCAAATCATTTCAAATGACCCCAACAACTAAGAGCCACTGCTCTGTGCCATGCTTTCTCACCACCAAACAAGGCAGACTGTGGCAGTCAAAACAGCCATGATGGCCAAGCTTCTTTACGGAAATAGCTTTAGCCTCCCCCTTAACTCTCCACCCCGGGAAGCACCATCTTTCCTTGTCCAAATCCAAACTCTTATATCTGAATTGGTAAGAAGGAGCCACACCCAAAGGTGTCAGTTTTTACCCTTCATCTCCCTCACATCAATGCTCTGTTTGACTGACATGACATGATGGCTGAAAGGCCCCATGCAGGGAGAAAAACAGGGTGGAAAAATTACAGGCTTGGAGAATTAAGCCCATAATAGTAGAGTTTTGGTTCTTTCAGTCCGAGACCACAGGTGGAATTCTGCCTCAGACTGTTGCTCCAAAGGGAATTTCACAGCACAAAGGCTGATGAGGGACAGCCAGAAACGGGCAGGCATCATAACTCATCATGGATGAACCTACTGAAAATCTTGTTGCTTGTTTTTTAGGTTACCATCACTCTTAGCATAATGAGTTCCTAAACACTTATGTTCTATAAGGTAAAGTGGAACTTCCTTCTATTCATTTCAAGCTTCTCCTTCACAAACTTGGGCTCTAACGGTTTCCCTGGCCCAAACTTCTCATGACTTCAAAACAGATGGTTTTAGAGACAGAAGCGTCCATCCTCTTTAGTCTGTCTTCACCTGGGAACCTTCCCCTACCTGTCCTCTCCTGTAGAGTATTCCCTTGACCATTTTAATGCTTTTTTTCCTGAAAATCTCTAGACTCAGAATGTCTTCATTGAGGCTGGTTGATCATTTCAAGTTCAGGATAACAGTTTAGACAAGATGAGAAAATCTGTTCTGTATTGTTTCTGATACTCGTCTTAACAAGACCCAGGACTCTACTAAATATTTTACCTGTAGCGACGTACCTGGCTGCCCTTGCTCTGTGTGCCCCGGAAGGCATGTACTTTAAACTCCGCCCCTTCCCTCCTGCTTCTTCCTCTGGACACCTCTGGTTTTAAAGAATACTTTTAATCCTCTGAGATGTCTTCCCCTCAGTCATAGTCAGCATTTTCTATGGGACTACCCCAGACGTTTCTCTTGCTCATCTGTTTTACTTTAACTATTATACATGTGTCAACACTACAATACCCACAAGTGTGTGCTCAGTAAGACCAATACCTGGTTACACAGGCACATGCAATCTATTAGTAAAAAGAGTAAAATGCAGAAAAACATATTAACCATTTAGGTCAAAGTATGGTTAGTCTGTAATGAACAAATACAATTTCATAAAGTTCAGGATGGTCAGGAAGAATGTGGTAAATGGAAAAACAGAGCTATTATGCAGATATTCCAATAAAGAGATAAAGTCTATTTCTCCTCCCTTTGAATTTCCTTTGAATTCAGTAGGCTTTGACTAGAATGTGTCAGAAGAGACACCGTGTGATTTCTACAGCTTAGGACTCATGCAGCCCCGAGGCTTCGGTTGTCATGCCCCTGGAATGTCCCTTTGCCAACTAAGAAGGCGCGGGCTAGGCAAGCAAATGCAGACAGACAGTGTGGATAGAGAAGCTTAGCAGTCACCCAGCTCCAGGGCTCCAACCTGTGAGTGAGTTCATCTTAGACCCTTTGTTTCAGCTGAGCTGCCAGCTTCCACAGCGACATGAATGAGCCGAGGCAGGATGAGCAGACAAAACACCCAATTAATAGGCTTGTGAAAACTGACATGGTTCTTTTACAAGCCACTAAGATTTGGTGGCTTGCTGCATAGCAATAGGTAACTGATACAAGAGGTGCATTTGGAGTTAACAGCTGACGTTCACCTATTGCTTTGGCCAAGAACCTGGCACTGTTGAGATTCTTCACTTCAGTTCGAACGCCCAAAGGCTCCCCAGGGTGATGCACAGATACATTGGCATCCACTCTCAACTGGCCCTCTGGAAGGAAAGAGAAAAGATAACTTTTTAGAAATTCTTTAAAGTAACATGATGGGTTTGAAGTCTCCAGACAGGCAATAGCCAATTCCATTTGCTGTTGTTACAGCAACTTAACTTTACAAAAGGTACGGTTGGTCCCAAAGAACACGGCTGGTACTTCCGTCCACCTCAGAAAATTATAGCCTAGCACATCTGAGGTGTATGTGTATATGCATGTGTGTATATTTGTGTGCATCTGTGCACATGTAGAAGAGAAAAGAAATTCTAGATATACCAGCTGGGGAAATCTAATTTCTTTTGTGCCAAGTAAGAAAAAACAACACTACTAAAATGGAGATTTACTTTGCACTTTTACCCTTAAGTTTTTTTTTCAAAGTGTCAGAGCTGCTTTGGGGGGGTGGGGAGGCCTCAGAAATGACTTTGATAACCCTACACCGCTCTCCAGTGGAATGTGGATTCCCAACAGCGATTCTAGGAGATCTGTGAGAGAGTCCTTGAGAATTTACAGCTCAAGGGTAGGAGCCAAAAGCCTGAGCTTTTTTCCCTTACTCCTTCTTCAGGGACCTTAATAATCTCTTCTTTCCACTAACAAAACTCTGAATGCTTCCTGACTACTGCAAGGATTTGCTGCAGCAGGCAGTGCTGTTGGGAAGGAATGAGTCTGTGGTAGGGCTCAGAGGGGCTGTCCCCACACGGGGAGGACCTTCTCTGACCCGGAAAGCCTCTTTAGATCGGTAGCAATAACCCCCAAGAAAGCAGGTGGTTTGTGGGGAAGATTAAGTGAGGGGTTCCTGAGGAGGAGGTGTGGGAGGCAGAATCGCAGGTCAAATACAGAGATGAAGAAACATCATATTTCATACACTACAGTAAGGATTAAATTTTCTGTTCTCCAATTTCATTTTTAACATTTAGAACAGAATCTTTAAGAAGACAGAATGCTGGACTTGTATTTTCCTAGAAAAGTTTTTAAATTAAAAAAGAACATGCCAAACCTGTGTGTTCTGATGGGCTGAAAAAAAATACATTTTCCAAGATTCCCCAGCAAAAGGATAATAAAATAGCATAAGTAAATTTCATGCTAAGAGAGGAGACCTTGGAACTTGTCTCTGTCATCCCCCCAATGCTGGGCTGTGGCGCCACCTCTCCAGGCTCGGGACTGCCGGCCACCCCTGCTCCTCCCCTTGGCACGTCCCCACACGGACAGGCAGGGACAGGGGCCTTTCGGCTCAGGAAGGGCTCTGTCTCTAGCACGGACTCCTTAACACTCTGGACAACTTTTGCTTACCTGAATCTCACAAGTCCCGACTACTCCTGACATCAGCAGACTCTCCATCTGGGAGCCCTGAAGCCATCTTCTGCTTCTGTTTCCCTTGTCCTTTAGAGCCAAACTGACAACTAGATCCTAGCAATTCTTCCCTCTAAACAGTGCTTGTATGTGTCACCTCCTTTCCGTTTCCACTGCTGCTATCCTAACCCAAGGACTTGGAACTTCAGATCCAGGTTACAGAGTCACAGCCTTTTAACCCAGGGACCCCTCCTTGTCCGGGCACCCACGGGTGGCTACAACTTTCCTTCTGCTGCCGCACAGTTTTCATCATTCTCATTGCTTGCTCAAGTGCAGAGCCAGCTCCTACCACAGCACCTTGTCTCCTCTGCCTGGTATTCCAAAGCCCTTATCTGGTTTTGGCTGATGTGACCCTCATTGTCCCCCTACTCACGCTACAGGACGGTGCTCCTTCAATCAGGGGAGCTCCCTGCAAGCAAGTCCCCATCTACTCTGCTGGTTACCATATGTTCTCTTTATCAGTGTTACTGTCCCTTCAACCCCTGCTCATGCTTCAAGGTCCCACTGAAGTGTTACCATCGTCTAGAAACTCTCGTCAATAAGCTATCCTCCCCAGGGGGCTCGTCTGAACCAGAAAACCACAGGCAATCAATACCACAGAATTTCGTACCTGAGTATAGTCTGAATTAATTTTAAGACCAGATGGAAGGCCCAGATTTTAAATCCTCACCCCTCTTGCCTTCCCAAGACATTCTTTCAGTTATCTCCTCTCCCACATCAGTCATTAATCTCTCTTTCTCAACATTACTTCTGATACATACATAAGCAATTGTATTTATCATAAGCAAACCAACCAACCCTAAACTAAAAACCTACTCCTTTAAAGCCAATCCCTCTCTCAGTTATTCAGCTATTATTTCTCTGCTTTCCATTTTTAGCAAATCCTCTCAATCACATTTTATTTAGTCATTCATTACACATATTGTCTATATTTTCTCACTTCCATTTACTCCCACTTCAGCCTGGCTTCTGTCCCCACCTTTCTGAAAATGCTTTGTCAAAGTCACCAACTTCTCAGCTGCCAAATACAATGGACACAGGACATGTTCTGCCTGCACCTTCCTGGACACCTAAGCAGCACGTGACATGCCAAGTAACCCTTCCTTCCTGAAACCCCTTCCTCCCACAGGGTGTGCCCTTTGCTCTCTTGGCTTCCCTCCTACCTCTGTGGACACCTGATTTCCATTTCATTTGCTGGTGCTTTCTTTCCTATCCAAACTCAGGACCCTCTTTTCTACCTGCACTCTATTTTAAATACCACCTTTGTGCTGCTAATTCCCGAATTTCTCTCTTCATCCCAGACCTCTTCTCTGAGCTCCACACTTACCTCCAATGGCTAGCTGACACCTCCACGTGGAGGTCTCACAGGTCTTTCACCTGCCAAAACTAAATCCTGATTTGCCCCTCCACAAAACATTCTTGTGTTTGCATCTTTCCAGTTTTAGAAAATAGTATGACCCCCCCTCACTCAATCCTTGATTTCTTTCTGCCTCTTGCGTTACATACCAGCCTGATAACAAATCCTGGTATTTCTAAAAACCATCTTGAATCAACCCACCTAGATTCCTCCATTGTCACTGACAGGCCCTGTCCAAAACAGCATCCTCTTTCATCTGAACTACTGTAAAAGCTTAATTAGTCTGGCTTCTACTCCTTTTCCTCTGAAATCCACTTTCCACAGGGTGGCCAGAGTGGTTTCTAAAACATTAATCACATTATGTTATTCCCTTGCTTAAAAACCCCTCAATAACTTACCTCTGCATTGGAAGGAACTCCAAACTTCTTATCATTATTGGTCACCTCTCCCCAGCCTGCCTTTCCAGCCTGATTTGGTGCCACATTCCCCTGCTTGTCTGCTTTCCCTTCTGCTACCTATGTTACCTCAGAGCATATAAGCCTCTCCTCATCTCAGGCACCATGTCTTAGCTGTGCCTTCCAATGCTCACCCCCAGCTCTACACTGGCTGGGGCCTGGACTCATTCTTTAGGTCTCAAGTATCACATCGCTGAGAAGCCTTCATGTTCCAACAAGCGTTATTCTTTATCATGGCATCCTATTTATTTCCTTAAAGCACTTATGGCTATACTTATTTTATTTGTAAATGTATTGGTCTCTGAGGTCCATATAAGCTTTAAGTAGCAGGAACAATGCCTTTTTCACTGCTATATTCAGAACTTAGTGCTGGATCTAGCACAGGGTAATTGTTCAATAAATTAGCACCTTGTTGACTGAGCCCAAAGTGGTATTCTCCTGAGCAGTGAGTAAGTAGGCTGGTTACTGTCTCACAGTAGGTTCCTGATAGTTCTCAAGTTTTGTCTAATAGGACTAATCTACAGCTGGAATTATCTGAAAGGCCCATTCAGCTCTAAGAAAACTTTTAATGTATGCTGAGCTCTGCTCAAGCAAATCTCAACACTTGGAAGACAACTTTTTTGAACTCAGGGAAACCTGAATTGGATCTCACCTGCTTTTAAAAATACAGCTCTTATAATTTTGAATTTTAATTTGGAAAAGGAATAAAAGCATGAATTTCAGTCTCTTCCAGAGAAGACCATACTACATAAATGTCTGAGAGGAATCATTTAGTATCCTGCAGTGCTGAAAGAGAGTTCACCAGCCTGGATTCAAATATAGTATTGAACATTAACAAAAGATGCTCTATCCAGTGAAGACAAAATACCTTTTAAACAAATTAAGTTAAATTGCCTTAAGTGCACAAAAGCCTTACCAGTCAGGTTTACTTCAATGCATTCTGCAGCACTGAGGACGGCCTGCACTCACGCACCATGAGAATGTTATCAAGCTCGATTTCTACCCTCTAGAAGTAGAGATTTGTAACAGCAAAACTAAAAAACTATACCACTGAGCACAGAGATATGGTGCAGTTACATCTTTTTTTCTAAAACACATTCACACATCAGAAATATAACATCAGGATAGAAAACTGTTTCTGTAAACAGCAAGGGCCTGAGGACTTAGTGAGAAGGTCTGTTAAGCTATCTCATTCTGATCACTGAATATTCTCCATAACTTAATAACAAAGCTTCTTCACACACGTGCACACACAAAACCAAATTTTATTGAACATATTTCACAAAGCTTATTCATCCAAAATGAGTGGTGATTCTGTAAAAGTAATGCTATTTATTATTGCTGATAAAAGCCCTCAGCATTTACTGATCATAGGCTACTTGTTAGGACCTGTGACATTTTATATACATTATACCATTCATTCCCTACAATATAGCTATAACAAAGCCACTTGGACATCTGTTAGGCATTACAACCTTACCACAGCCAAGAAGGAATTCCGGATTTTCTCCCACAAAGCCACCCTCTCCCAATCTTCCCTGCCTCAGTACAAGACGAAACCACCAGCTTCCCCTATGGGTCGACTTGGATGATGACCTTTCCTCTTTGGTGTCTTCCATAAGCAATTACTTGGAGAGTCACTATATAGATGGAGACAGTGAGGCTCAGAGCAGTCAAATCCCTTGCTCAGGTTCCTACAGCTGGAAGTGGTGGAACAGGGTTCCGAGCCAGGTGTGGGGCCTCAGCTCCTGCAGCACTCACACTTGGCTACACAGCCTAAGTTGTTGTCTGTGGCAGTTAATGACACAGTTGTGCTGCCACAAGGAAGCAAAGTGAGGCAGGGCTTAAAGAAGGGACTTGTGGGGCAGTCACACCTGGGCTCAAACCCCAGCTGTCCCTCTCTGTGATCCTTGGGCAGAGAGCCCAACCTCTCTAGGCCTCAGTTTCCTTACCTGTACACAGACATAATACGTATCTCTCAGGAACGTCATAAGGGTTAAATAAGACAATAAATAATTTTTAAAAATTCAGTGAAATAATTAGCACAGACTAAATGTTCAATCTGGCAGGTATTATCATTGAAACGTTCAGGATGTCTACTTCAGCAGATGTTCAACTCAACAGACTGCTTCGAGGCTCTGACAGTGGCAAAGTCCATTAAGAAGGAACTGACTTTTGGAAGCCAGTCTGAGCTGGTCCACATTCATTAGCAAAACTATCAAGAACTCACTGAATCACAGCCCAGAGCAATTTAAGCTTCATTCCAAAGCACCCTGGGGTCCACTGCTCTTCTCTAGGGTGGTCCTTGCCCTAGAGTTCTTCTGCTATAGTCTCCAAGGCCAACACAAAGGTCCAACAGGGGTGGGAGGTGGGACAGAAGAATAAGCCAAGGGTCTGCGCTGGTGAAATGCTAACAGCACAAAATGCTGGACTCCTACCTTTGCACCATTACCCTTTAGAATCACAGCCAGTCTGCTGCTGTGCTAGGGGCAAAGCCGTTGGATTTGTATTTAAAAGCAACAAAAAGTGTCACAACAAATGAGATTTAATGAACACTCTCAGCTGTCACAGACTGATGAGTTCTTGCTGTTACGGTTTATCTCTTGGCAAGGACCCAGATGGGACTACTTTTCAGCTAACAGGTGGCCTGTTTATTATTCCATGGGTTTGGTAGGAATCACAGTTATTTTGAGGAACAAATAATAAAAAATCTTAAATCAGTAAAGAACTAACAGTGCATAAATGGATAACCATCCAACCTGCCCATATTTCATTTATGTTCTATGGGTAAAAAAAGCAGCATGAACCATAAATCTAAAATGGAGAGTTCTCTTACTCTCAAACAGAGCCTCATTTCTGTAAAGCAAACTTATAGGCAGCTAACCTTTACGCCACTCAAATTCATGTGGCTGTGTTTTTCCATCTTTAGCTTAAAAGAGGAGAGCAAATAGGCTAATTCTGTCTTCCAATTCAACTTGTACCAGGGCTTGATGCTACAATTTGTTGCTTGTAATATGTCCTAAGTGACAAATATGGCATTACAAATTCAGAAGTCCCTTCGTAACATTCAAAAATATTGTGTGACATAAAAAGGTTGGTAAATAGTATTATAAACCAGCAGGGAGATGAATCACTATTATCAATGGTATTTACTGGCAGCCACTGTGACCCCCTGTGATGGCTAATTTTTATGTGTCCACTTGACTGGGCCATGGGGTGCCCAAATTACACGGTTAAATATCATCCTGGGTGTGTCTCTGAGGGTGTTTCTGGATGAGCTGCACGTTTGAACCAACAGACTAAGTAAAGCAGACTGCCTTTCTCATTGTGGGTGGGCCTCATTCAAGCCACTGAAGGCCTGAATAGAACAACAGGCAGAGGAGGGGGCATTTTGCTCTCTCTGCCTATCTTTGACCTGGGATATCAATATTCTCCTACCTTGGGATTCGGGCTCAGACTGGCACTTGCTCTCGCCTGCAGCTTACTGACTGCAGATCTTGGACGTCTCAGCTTCCATAATCAATCACCAACTACTTATAATAAATCTCTTCACATATAAACATACATACATATATAGAACACACATACACACACATTCTATTGATTCTGTTTATCTGGAGAACCCTAACATACCAATATACTGGGCCATGGATCAACAATTGTATATGCACCATCTGTTTCTTTTCTCCACTCTGTCAGGGATTGCTCTGTGTAAGAAGTTTTTTAAAAGAGCCCCTGGAAACAAAAAACAAGGAAAACCAGAAAGAGAACAGCTTTCAGGGACTGAGGGTGGGCAAAGCAGTGCCCAGGAAGGGGCCATGAGCACAGGCCAAGAAGAAACTGAGTTTGACCACAACTTGTCACCTTCACATCCAATTTGCAAACACTTAAAATGCATAGTTTGCCTGGGCCCAAGGGCACAAGTATTTCTTTTACTTCTTACTATTTTTCTACTGAACTTAAGATTTTATCTCAAAGCTAAAGTTTTACAAAGTTAAAGTTATTCTGGATAAACATAATGTCTTCTGTCTGAGAAAGATGAAACTGCTCAAAAACATTATTTTATTAATCCTCATGACATTTTGAGGCAAGAAGCCAGGAAAAGTATCTAGACCTCTAACTTTTTGAGAAAAAAGAAACAACGAGTCCAAAATGGAGTCACTTTCCACCAGGACAGCAAATCAAGATTTAACTACAGTTTCAACTTCTCCCAGGAATGGGAATTTTAACCAGGGAATCTGGAATTTCCTAATCAACACATGTGAGGTTACCTGCATGACAGACCCTGGCCCCTCCACAAAGACAGATGACCTTGTGTGGAACAACCCACTCTTTTTTAGAAAAGTTCCTTTTCCTCCCACTTCTGTCTCAGAAAGTCTTCCATTTTGTACCAGTCCTTGAGCTCCTTCCTGTTTGCTAAATAGGATGCTGCCCAATTCACGAATCACTGAATAAAGGCAGATTTACTCATTTGAATTGTTATTGTTTTAAACAGCTCCTAATCTAGCATTCTTGGGCTCAGTGTCTCTGCACTGTTGTTGCTGTGTTTATTTTTGTTTGGAGGTTCAGAAAAGAATCCAGAGAAAATTCTAGGAGGAAAAAAACAGGTGCAAAAGGCTGAAAAAAGTATGTAAACGACCCCAGTGTAGCTGATACAGAGAACAAAACTCAAGTAAGAAGAGCCCTAGGAGGTGGCAGGGAGATGGAGAAGGAGGCCCCGCCTTTGTGGCTTCTACCTGCCATATTTGCCTGGCTGGTCCCCAGGGCTTGAAGTATCAGCTGCAGCTCCCTGACAGCTGTTGCTGCCTCTTCTCCACACGACATGTCTGGCTCCAGGACCACTTCCAGAAGGCCAACTCCTACCAAAGAGAGGCAGAGTCAGCCTGATGGGAATTCTCCAATCTGACCTGCAGATAAATGAGGCTGAAGTCTTCAGAAAACGCTGCATCACTGACGGACTCTCAAAGTGGATTCTAGCTTTTGAATGGTTTCTTTCACTTCATTTTTTGATTTTTAACTTTGGCTCTTTTCTTTTACTGTTGGCTTAAGATAACATGCTTCTGGGTTTGTGACTAGGTGGCCACGTCTGTCTCACTTTAGGGGTGGGTTATTAGCAAGCCCGACAGAGCAGTTCCAGCTGGGCTCTCTAATCAGCCATGTCAGTACCAGGGCTGATATTCTGATGTGCATCTGCTGGGCTACTGGGCCTTCCCTCAATTGGTTTGGGAAAACTCTAGAGGGGAAGAGACGGGGCTGGAAGGAAACGCAACAGGAAATCTCCAGGCCTACCTGCCCTGTTCAAATCAATGAGTGTCTGAGACCGAAGGTCATCATGGAGGCTTCTGCCACTGTCTTGCTCCAGCTGGATCTGCTTGATCCTCACTGTCTTGGTGATCAACTGACTCGGCTTTTTCTCCACACAGATGCTGTATGCCAAGCTCCCATTTACTGCGATTGGGAGCCTCTGCTGGGTAATTTGGTAGCCTGCCTGCACACAAACACGGATTACAGAGTCACTGTTCTGTAAATAT